ATGTTAATGTGCATAGTTTATAATTTATAATTTTAAAACGTATGTATATAATTTTTTTTATGTCACATTGTATGCTATTTTTTTTTATTTTTTAAATTAATTTTTACATGACATCATTTTTGCATAATTTTCATGATAGCTTCACTTGCATAACTCGATATATTCATAATTGGATTAAGGGTAATATACTTTTAATTTAAAATTGTTTCAAGGGGGCTGTCATAACTGATTTGAAGTCCGCTTCTAATGATTTTAAATTAAAAGTGTATCCCGAAAGTGAAACCAAAAAAATTGATTCGTCACCTAAAATTTGGGAACGAGAGAAAAAGAAATGTTCGTTTATTTAAATATATCGAGAAAAGGTTGTTATATCTTTAAGATCTGGTCTCGATATTTGTAAATAATCGAACATTCTTTATCTTTCTAAAATGACTTGGTAATTTTAATTTAATTTGTTTGAGTGTTTTTGAATGTTTTAAATTTACATTTTTGTTTTATGGGATCAAAAATTAAATTAAGTTCGAATTTGTAAAGTTCATTGCAAAAACGTTAATTAATCGACTAGGTACCGATTTAGGGCGTTGTGGGGGTGCTAATCCTTCCCCACTCGTAACCAACTCCCGAACTCGGATTTTGGTAACGCATACCTCAATTTGTTGTTTTAATTAAAATTAATTTTTATTTAAAATGACAAAGCATTTTTGGGTGCTCAATCACACCCTAATCAAAGATTGGTGGCGACTCCTTGAACCGTATTGTTCGATCGTAAAGGAAATCCAAAAATTTTCGAAACAAGAGGTCTTTTAAATCGCATTTGTTTTTAAATTAAAAAGAGATAATTAAGAATTAATGTGGTTTTCAAAATATCACATTTTTTCACCTTTTAAGAAAAAAATCGTTTCGACAGTATGTATTTGGAATCTAAGGGTTTTGTTTTAGCAAAATCTGATTCATCTCTTTATGTTCATAAGTCTGCTACTAGTGTTATATATTTGTTGGTGTATGTTGATGACATTATTCTTACTGGAAATAAACTTGATGAAGTGCATATTGTTATTAACAAATTGAACAAACAGTTTTCCTTGAAGGATCTTGGATCTTTGAGCTATTTCTTGGGGGTCGTGGTTTCATTATGAGGTAGGTGATATTTTGCTGAGTCAACGAAAATATATTGGTGATTTGTAGCAGCGTAATGTTTTGCTAGTGACAAAAGTTTTCCTACGCCAATGGTGTCGAGTTGTAAGCTGTCAAGTAAGGATTGATCCAATTTTAAAGATGCAGCTTACTATAGAAGTGTTGTTGGTGCATTGTAATATGTTGTCATTACTCGTCCTGATGTAGCATTTGCAGTCAATCGAGTATGTCAGTCATGCAGGCTCCACTTGATACTCATTTTCAAGCTATGAAGCGTATTCTGCATTATCTTCAGGGTACTATTGATTTTGGTTTACGTTTCTTCCTCAAGATTAACGCTAACTGGTTTTGCTGATGCCAACTAGGGGTCAGATGTGGATGATAGGTGCTCTACTTCTGGTTATTGCATTTACTTTTCTGGGAACTTAGTCTCATGGAGTTCTCGAAAATAACAAGTTGTAGCCATATCTACTGCTAAGGCTGAATATCGCAGTGTTGATTGTGATGCAGCTGATATGAGATGGCTTCAATCCTTACTTACTGAGTTGCATGTTGTTCTACATGGTACACCTACATGAACAACATGGTACACCTACATTATGTTGTGATAATTCGAGTGTTGTTGATGTATGTGCTAACCCAATTCTTCATTCTAAATTCAAACATGTGGAATTTGATTTGTTTTTATTAGAGAAATGGTTGTTGCTGGAAGATTACAGGTTCATGAAGTTCAAGTAGTTGAGCAGGTTGATGATATTCTAACAAAAACATTGTCTGCTCCTTTATTCCTAAAGCATAGAATACGACTGCTGATTGTTCAACTCAAGGATAAGTTGTTGATTCCTGAGTCGAGCAGTAAAAGAATGATTGAAGAAGTAGATGAATAAAGAAGAAATGCTAAAAAGTTTTACAAGATTGTTAAGCAGGGTGAATGTTGAAGAATGAAATTTTGATATATTGGTTATGAGCTGTCAAATAGGGTGAATGTTGAAGAATGAAATGTTTGCTGCATTGCTTGCTGTGCATGAATTTGTTAAGTGTCTGTTAAGAGTTTGTTATAGGTTTACTTACGTGGGTTGCTTACGTTGCTTGCTAAGTTGGTAAAAGAGATGGTTAGAGTTGTTATTCAATCTTGTATATAAGCACCCCTTGTATAGCTTAAAATGCAGCTTTTACATTATAATAAAAATGTATCTGAATTTTTTTCTCTTCATTCTTTTGTTTTGAATGTCTACCTGATAGCTGTTTGGCTATCTTAACACTAATAACTACAAGTATTCATTCATTTCATCTCATGGATTTAAACCGACATAATTTGTTGGTTTTGTGAATGTAATCCATGCTCGTGTGTCTGTTACTCATACGTATAGAAAAAAATTTATCTAGAAATTAAAAAATTAATTTATTTGAGTAATATTTTTATAGAGTATAAAAAAGTAAAATTGACCCAATCCATATATTTGATTTTTTTTCCGTTGTCCTCACGTTTGAAAGTTTTGTCTTAACTAATCCGAACCGATCTGCATCACACACATAGTTTTGGTGAGTTAGTCTCCCAGTAAGAATTTTCTAAATACACAAAAATTCGAACTTAAAACCTAACTTAAGAGATATCAAACTACTTACCACTTGAACTAACCTTATCGTTTGATTTAATTAATAGTTAAGAGTGTTCATTATTCACTCCACGTCGTCAATTTAATCTAAAAGAATTTATCTGTTTGTGAGTTATAATCTATGCATGTATGTCGATTACTTATTTTTTTTATTAAGATATTAATAATTTTCTTTAAAATAAATTAATTTGAATTCTTAATCTTTCAAATTAACTTACAAATTGGGAAGACTAGTTATTTTAGCATACCATCATTCATTTTATTTAAAAAAACATATCATCATTTATTTAAATAAAAATAAATTTACTAAACAAAAATTAATCCAAACTTGAAATGTTATAGTACTTAAAAGGATTAAATATACAAAATGTGTACAACCTATGCCCGTTTTTCAGTTTAGTGTCTAACGTTTATTTCGTTCTAGTTTGGTGCCTAACGTTTCATTTCGTTACTCAAAAATGGGTCAAGCCATGACGGACCGTTAATTTCTTTATTTAAGTGACACGTGTCACAATCCAGTATTTTAAAAATTTGTATAAAATTAAAAAAATTAAATTAAATATTTTTTAAAAAAGAAAATACATAAATTTTGAAATTATCTCAAAATTTTGAAAACCTTCATTTCAACCCCTAAACCCACGCCGACCATCACCTTTTGCCGTCGAAGAAGCTCCACCCGACCTCACTTCCCCCGGCGATCGAAACCCCTATGAAACCGTGACTGATCAATGGCCGATCGACAACAAATCGACGTTTAATATCCTGTAAACTCTAGGATAAAAATCGCAATCCCAAGCGATTTCGATGACCAATCGAGGATAACTTGTAACTAGGATGATGACAAGAACTACGTTGACGGCGGTGGTCGTGGCCGGGAAGGGCGGCGACGGCGGGTTAGTGTTAGGATTTAGGGATTTTGAGGTTTTTTTGTAATTTAAACGAAAAAAGATTTTTCATATAAATATAATAATATTTTTAATATACTTTTAAATAAATTTCAAAATTACGAGATTGTGACACGTGTCACTTAACGGAGAAAACTAACGGTTCGTCACAGCTGGACCCATTTTGAGTAACAAAATGAAACGTTAGGCACTAAACTAAAACAAAATAAACGTTAGACACTAAACTAAAAAAGCAACATATGTTGGACACTTTTTATATATTTAAGACTACTTAAAAATATTGACGCACCTAAGATTTTATGCGAGGGTATGCAACTTTAACAAGTATATTAAAATTTTAGGAATGCTAAATTATAAAATTTCAGGTCCAAAATATATTATAAAAATGCTTAAATTAGATGTGAATTTAAAATTTTCAAAGATACAATCATCCATCTCTGTCTATCTGAGTAAAAAATGTTTAACATTTAGATCATAATATAGATTTGAGTTAATAAAATTTATCTGCTTATAAATTATAATGTATGCATGTATGGGTTTAAAAATATATGATAAACCCATAAATAATAAATTTCTTTAAAACTCATAATTTCTTTTTTAAAAATAATTTAGACCCACCAAAATGTGACAATTTAAGTAGTGATTGGATTAAGAGTTAATTGCATCAAATTATGATTATTATTTTAAATTAGTTTCTAAAGTTTTAAATATTCTAATTTCATCCTTAAAATTAGTATTATCGTTTTTAATTAATTCTTAAACTTTTGAATATTTTAATTTCATACCTAAACTATGAATTTCATTATAATTAGCCCCTAAACTATTTAAACATTTCAATTTCATCCCAAACTATATGTATATACTAATTACATCCCTTGTTAATAAAACCGTTAGGTCAAGTTATATTATTATATGTTTTAACAAGTAAAATTTAGGTTAAAATATGGTTAAAACTAATTACATATTTAGATGAATTCAGGGATGAAATTAAAAGATTCAAAAGTTTGGGGACAAATTGAAAATGAGGGATATAATTTAGGAATAAAATTGGAATGTTCAAAAGTTTAATGACAAACGAGAGTAATAATTTAAAGATGAAATTAATATATTTAAAAGTTTAAAGACCAATTTAAAATGAAGGTCATAGTTTAAAGATGAAATTAGTATATTTAAAAGTTTAATGACCAATTTAAAATGAATGTCATAAAGATATATACAATTAACTCTTAGATTAATTGAAAAATTATTGGACCTATACTTGAATTTGGAACTGAAAAAAGCCCATTAAGTAAGACACCATAAAAACAAACAGAGGAAGAACGCACGGCACAATGAATAAGCCATCTTCTCTCTTCTTTGTTCTTCTCCGGTTTTCAAAAAACCATCTTTAATTCTTCCTTCTTTTTCCAATTTTTCTCCTTTGGATTTTGGCTCTACCTTCATTTTTAATATCCTGCCTCTTCGACTATCTCTCTTACATGACCGAACCAAAAAGAGAGAAAGAACATTAATAAACACAAAGGATTAGGGGGGACAAAAGGTTAAACTGATTTAGTTCCTTTGTGTTTTTCCTTGGTGTAAGATCTGGGGAGTAAGTTTCTTCAATCCAATACCTTAAATGGGCTTATTTCCATTTCTTCAAATATGACTCTTTTGTCAAGACAATTCACTTTTTGTTTTCGGGTTTACAGAGATGAAGCGAGTAAGAGATGATGTGTATTCTGGTTCTCAATTTCAACGTCCATTCAGTTCTTCTAGGGCTGAATCGTAAGCTTTTTTTCTTCTTGTTCTTTCCTCTGCTTTTATAATATATTTACTTGTTCTGTCTCTCTCTTTAGGGTTTTCATGGTTGGTTTTGTTTTTACATGGAAGTTGGCCTTTTTTGTTATCCTGTTTGTTGCTTTTTCTTTTGATTGCTGCTTAGTCATTGTTGTCAAGTTTGATGGTTATTCTTCTTTGGTCAGATTTGACTGGGAATTTTTTTGGATTTGCATGTGGGATTGTTTTGTTTACCACTTCGAATGGAGTGATTCGTTTACGTTTTTGTTTTTTCATGTTTGGCTTGAATTGTATAGGTCTTTCTGGTTGTTGGATCATTGCATTAAGTAAGATTAAGATTTGTCTCTTGGTTGTTTAATAGTTGGTAAATTTACTTCCAAGTAAAGGAGATTTTAGGTTCTTTTAAGAGGATGATATGTTGAAAGTAAATTAGGTTTAGCTCAAATTTTTTCGGAGTTTCCTTATTCGAATTGTTCGAGTAGCTGTGGGTCTGATTTTTCTTTTATTATTTCTACCTATTAAGCTATGGGCAAAACCAAATACCCGGTGGAAGTGGTGGTGCAGAAGGTGTTGGAGGAGGAGGGGAAGGTGGAGGAGTTGGAGGAGGTATGTCACAGAAACTGACTACAAACGATGCCTTAACGTATCTAAAGGAAGTCAAGGAGATGTTTCAGGATCAAAAAGAGAAGTATGACATGTTCCTTGAAGTCATGAAGGATTTCAAGGCTCAGAGGTATCCTGTTTTCGAATCTCGAGTTTTGTTGATCGAAAATAAATTGTCGGTTGCTTTAAACTACTAATGTTTGGTACATCTTTTGTCTTATGCAGAACTGACACTGTTGGTGTCATTGCCCGAGTGAAAGAGTTATTCAAAGGGCATAACAACTTGATTTATGGATTTAATACCTTCCTGCCGAAGGGCTATGGAATTACCCTTGATGAGGACGAGGCTCCGAAAAAGACAGTTGAATTTGACGAAGCAATCAGTTTTGTAAACAAAATAAAGGTGAACTACTAAAACCATTGTGCCATAATCTTTTGCTTATCAATATCCGTCTAATTTCTCCATTGGCTGTGCAGAAACGTTTCCAACATGACGAGCATGTCTATAAATCATTTCTTGATATATTGAATATGTACCGGAAGGAGCACAAAGACATAACTGAGGTTTATACTGAGGTAAATATATCTTATTCTTGTTGTTAACTGTCTTCATTTGTAGCTACTGAACCCTAATCTGTTGATTTTTTTCCCAGAAAATTTGACATGTTCTTTGTTTCGTTGATTTCAGGTTGCTTCTCTTTTTGAGGACCACCCTGATCTGCTCGAGGAGTTCACAAGATTTTTACCAGATTCTTCAGCAGCACCTATGACACAACAAGTTCCATATGGTCGAAACTCAACTCAACGTTATAATGAGCAAAGCGCTACACCCACCTTGCGGCACACACAAATGGATAAGGTAACTGCTCTCTCCCATTTTTTAATATTTATTTACTTGCTATATTTTGACATCTTTGCGATATGAAATAATGATTTGTTTCTTTTTTCAGCAACGTCGGAGGGATAGAATTATTACTTCCCATGCTGATATGGATCTCAGCGTTGACCGTCCTGAATTGGATGATGACAAAGCAATGATTAAAATGCAAAAAGAGCATAGAAAACGCATGGAAAAGGATAATAGGGATCTGAGAATTTGTGATAACAATGATCCCGAGCATGAAAACAATAGGGATCTGAGAATTCGTGATAACAATGATCCCGAACATGGAAACAATAGGGATTTTAACTCGCAGCGTTTTCCCGACAAAAAGAGATCTGGAAGGAAAGATGAAGGATTTTCTTCTTATGATGACAGGGATACTTCAAAAAGTGAGTCTCTCCGTTTAGGGTGACAATTTTCCTGTTCTTTTGCATTCTACCGCTAATAAAGTACCCTTGTATAATGGGATTCGGGTTAATTCACATTTTCTCATCCTTCTTGTATCAACCTTTTAAGCTTTCAGTTTTTTTTTTCTATTCCAACCTCAGGCATGCTCCACCAAGGTTTTATATTCTGCGAGAAAGTTAAGGAGAGGTTGTGCAGCTCAGACGACTACCAGGCATTCTTAAAATGCCTTAATATTTATAGCAATGGAATAATCAAACGAAACGATTTGCAAAATTTGGTATGTTTTACATTACACCATCTATTGCGGTTATATTCAATATTTTGAATCACTCGATTGCCTTTTTTGGTATGTTCTATTTTTCTAGTAGTTTAATTATACGTCGCATTGATTCCTAGGTGACTGATTTACTTGGCAAGTACCCAGATCTTATGAACGAGTTCAATCAGTTCTTGGAGCGTTGTGAGAATACTGGTAATGGCTTATGTATCATTTGAAGTTGTTTTATTCTGATTATTTATTTTTATGGCTGCTCCGTTTTAATTTAAATATCTCCCGCAGATGGGCTCCTTGCCGGTGTTATTAGTAAAAGTAAGCCACCTTTTTCATTTGTTTTACATTTTTTATTTTTCGTTGGCTGTTTTCTCGTATATTAAAATGCACATATGTACATAGTTTAGTCCTAAATGACGCAAATTATTTTCTTATTTATCTGTAAATTGCAATGACAGTTTATTTCTTTTTGTTGCAGAATCACTTAGTGTTGACAGACATGCGTCCAGGCCATTAGAGGAAAAAGATAGAGAGCCAAAACGCGAAATCAAGGGAGCTAAGGAAAAGGAGAGATATAAGGAGTACATGGGAAAATCAATACAAGAGCTTGACCTTTCTAACTGCCAAATTTGTACTCCAAGCTATCGGCTTCTGCCAGATGATGTATAAACTTCTGAAATTTCTTTACTTAGTTTTTTGGCATGCAAGATTTGGCACTGATTATAACAGTCTTTGGTATTTCTTTCTCACAGTACCCAATACCTGTAGCAAGTCAGAGATCCGAGCTTGGCGCTCGGGTGCTAAATGATTATTGGGTATCCGTCACTTCAGGAAGTGAGGATTATTCTTTTAAGCACATGCGCCGAAATCAGTATGAAGAGAGCTTGTTCAGATGTGAGGATGATAGGTAAAATTTCTGGGCCTTCCTCGATTTATTCCAGTACTATTTAAAACAAACATCCTATTGACTAGTTTTCTCTTTTCATAATTATTACTATTATGGTGTTCCCATTTAATTTTGTATGCAAAGGTGAGAATGAGTTTTCAGAAGAAAAAATGACGTGCATTGGTTAATTATTCTGTTCATTTAAGCCATTTGGAATTTTAGGGTTATACTACTGTACAGGTCCCTGTCCTATGGGCTTATGAGCACCTTAGTCCTACTATAAAAGTAATCAATTTGGCCTTCATACGTTCAATTTTGAAGCAAATAGGTAAAATTATAAACTGTGATAAGGTTGAATTTTAAAAAATATTGACTTGTGTTCTGAAAAAATCAACAATTTCGTTATTGTCATGTTTTAGAAATACCGAATTTTCGATTTTTGTTTTTTATGTTACTTTGAAATGCAACAGATCAGCTTTCTATAATGTTCAAATTTACTTCCATTTAAAGCTTTACCTCGTTGTTTCAAAATTAAATGTGCAGTTACTAAATTGCTCATTTTATAGTAGGGAGACTAATTTGTTCTTTGTTTAGTACAGGGACATGCAAGGTAACTTAACCATGTTCTAAATATTATCTCCTTTGAAGAAATGACAGACTTGTTCAATGGTCTTAGGTTTGAACTGGATATGTTGTTAGAATCTGTGAGCTCAACAGCCAAGCGTGCAGAGGACCTGCTGAACAGCATTAATGAAAATAAAATCAATATGGATTCTCCATTCCGCGTAGAAGATCACTTTACTGGTATGTGTTTATCTTCTAGATTCTGAAATTATATGGTCTCTATATGAATATTTTTTGCCTTAACTTTTTAATTCTTCTGCATCACATACCACAGTTCTGAATTTGAGGTGCATTGAGCGGTTATATGGTGACCATGGTCTTGATGTAATGGAAATATTACGTAAAAATCCTGCTCTTTCATTACCAGTAATATTAACTCGCCTGAAGCAGAAGCAAGAAGAATGGACAAAGTGCCGTCTAGATTTCAACATGGTTTGGGCTGAAATTTATTCGAAAAACCATTACAAATCACTTGATCATCGCAGCTTCTATTTCAAGCAGCAGGATTCAAAGAACTTGAGTGCGAAATGTAAGTGGAATCGGATTGAAAGAATAGTCGAACTTTTAACATTTTCTAGTTAGTCCTAGCCATGGGCTGGTCTGGACCAGGTTTTGACAGGTTATTAAGAAGCTGTGTACGTCCAGGTTCGGCCTACCCCAAAACATGGGCTCAAATTTCTGACCAAACCGCCCATAATTTTGAGGGCATATTTGGGAAAAAGTGGATTAAAAAGGTCTATTAAGTTGAGGCATCTAATTTTCCCTTTTAGATCGATCTTGATCTTGATCGATACCAGCACCCGCACGCATCTTGTATTTGGATAGTAGATTTACGTTGGGTTTTAGGATATCATTAGGGTTTAAACTTTAGGTTATAGAATTTTTACATATAAAAAAAATCAAGTATATTCATACTTGAGCCTGGCCAGGGCAGGTTCAGGTTTGAAGTTTCTTCCCCAAGGGCGGCCCATTTACAGAAAAGGCTTTCTTGCCCAAACCATTTTCAAACCTACTTTTTCGGTTCATTCCCTCCCAAATATCAGACTTGGCCCTTGGACAGGTCTAGTTTTAATATATGGTGTAATTAACCGTCGACTGTAGTCTTGTGATTTTATTTAGACTTATTGATCTTTCATTTCTCATTGTAGCTTTACTGGCTGAAATCAAGGAGTTGAAAGAGAAGAACCAGAAAGAAGACGATGTTCTTATGGCTAGCATTGCTGGTCACAGACAACCCCTTGCTCCACACCTTGAATACGAATATTCGGATCTCAGCATTCATGAGGACCTATATAAACTTATCGAATATTCATGTGAAGAGGTGTATTCAACAAAAGAACAATTAAATAGAGTCATGAGGCTCTGGACTACTTTCCTGGAGCCCATGTTGGGTGTTCCTCCTCGACATAATGACAGAGAGGGTACTGATGGTGCTGGTAAAACTCAGAATCCTGCATTCAACTGCACTGCTTCGAGCGTTGCTGAATGTGATGGAAGTCCTGGAGCTGATGCTACTGTAAATTTCGGGCAACCAAAGGCTACCAGTGATAGAGACAAGAACAGTTCACCAGAATTAACTATTTCTTGCAGGAGTGGTTTGACAAATGGGGAAACTTTAGCTAGAGAGCACTCGGGCCGTGTCTCTAGAGAGGATTCAAAGCTAGAGAAAGAGATCAAATTTACATCTGATAAAAAGTCTGGAATTCACATGCATGCAAATGGAATGGAAGCAGAAAAGAATCACAGCAGAAACAATTTTGAAGGGACTTCAGGTGCGTATGTCGGGGAAGTTTCATTTCTGTGGTTTTGTTATTCATTGATCTTGTTTTTCCTATAAAATTTATTATTGTTATTCCTTCTTTTTGGGATCGTCTTGCTATAATGAGATTAGTTGAATTTCAAGGGAAAGGCATGGCTGCATCTAGACCTAGTAGTAGTGTTGTTGATGAGGACCGCGAAGCTACCGCTAACCCTGTACATTCTTCGGAGGTATGAATTTATGCATATGGACTACTGTATTCTACTTAGCATCACTGAAGCTGATATTACTATATTTTTTTGTTAAAATATAGCAATATTACCATATTTTGCCTATGTTGCTCCAACTCTTCATTTTGCTTAAAGTAATTTGTATCTGGCACTCCTGTACGATACATTTTCGACATGGATGCGAGGCATGACCTTCCAAGGATACTCTAAATACATGGAAATATTTGAAAAAATGGGTAGATTCCCATTTGGACACATTCGTATCCAATGCTTACACCTAAGTAGGGGTGCAAAACTTTGTTAAAACTGAATCAATTGATACAATTTGTTTAGTTCAGTTTAGTTCGGTGTCAGTTTTAGTCAGTTAAAGATTTCAGTTTATATATAATAGTTAACTGACCAAATATACCAACTTAATATAAATATATTTATATTGTTATAGATTTATGAAAGGAATTGTAAAAAGAAATTGATTCTACTTCTCCAAGGATTAGGAGAGTTTTTTTTATGGAAATATCAATAAAATATATAATAGTTTTAAATATTAGAAAAAATGATAGGTTGTCTCATTTATTTCAGTTAATTTGGTTGCTCGACCAAACCAACCGATTTAAGTCAATTTGGATATTTTGTTTTTTTTTTTCCGGAAGTCAGTTTGGCTTTTTCTTTTATTTTCAGTCGTAATAAATTTATTTAAATTTTCTTGGTAATTCAGGGTGTTGGTGTAACCAAACATGCTTTGTTAGTAAATGGAGTACCTATAGATGGCTCTAATGCCAGTAAATGTCACGAAGAATCCGCTGGTCCCTTCAGAATCGAAAAAGAAGAAGGTGAATTATCACCTACCGGTGATTTTGAGGAGGATAATTTTGTTGCTTACGGTGATACTTGTCCAAAGCTTGTGCCAAAGGCACAACATGGTGTTCAAAGTAGACAGCACCAGTCTGGAAACGGGAAAGACTTGCATTCTGTGGATGCTGGTGGAGAAAATGATGCGGATTTTGATGATGACGATAGTGAAAATGCCTCAGAGGCTGGCGATAATGCATCGGGCAGTGAGTCTGCAGCCAATGAATGCTCCCGTGAAAAGCATGAAGAGGAGGAAGAGTTCGAACATGATGAAGTTGATGGTAAGGCCGAGAGTGAAGGAGAAGCTGAAGGGATGACTGATACACATGTGGGAGGAGATGGCACGTCTTTGTTGTTTTCGGAACATTTCCTATTTACGGTGAAGCCTCTTTCAAAGCATGTACGGGCAGTTTTACCCGAAGACAATAGAAACATTTCTTGGGTTTTTTATGCTAATGACGATTTCTACGTTCTTTTCAGACTTCATCAAGTACGTAAGGTTTCGGAAGCTTTTTAGTTATTTTTTTCATTTTCCGCACTACATTTTAATAAGTATTCTTCAATCTTTGATTTTCGTTTAGATCCTATATGAAAGAATACTGTCGGCAAAAACAAATACAGCGGCTGCTGAAATAAAGAGGAAACATCCAAAAGACACTAGTTCTTCAGATTTATATGCCAGGTGGATTTAAATACCGATTTAACTGCTGAATTTGAAGGGTCTAATGCTTTCTAATTTGGAAAATTTATTCTCTCTGCTACATAGGTTTCTGAGCGCACTTTATAGTCTGCTTGATGGATCAAGCGATAATTCAAAGTTTGAGGATGAATGCCGAGCTGTAATAGGAAATCAGTCATACGTGTTATTCACATTGGATAAGTTGATATATAAATTGGTTAAGCAGGTTAGCTTCTTCGATGATGGTTCATAATTTTTTTCTCGTTTTTTGTTCAACTGTTTTGACATCTAGTTTCCGTTACAGCTTCAGGCTGTTGCAGCGGATGAGATGGATAATAAGCTTCTTCAATTGTTTGACTATGAAAAGTCCCGGAAACATTGGAAGAGAATGGATTCAGCGTATTATGAGAATGCACGTGTCCTCCTTCACGAGGAGAATATTTATCGATTGAAATATGTGAGTTTGACATGTCCCTCTAAAACCTCTTTTTTTGGGAATAAGAAATGAACTGAATTAGGAACATGAATGCCCTAGGTATGTCAATGCATAATTCTTTTTACTCCGGTCCATATTTTTTGCAGTCATCTTCGCCATCTTGTTTGTCTATTCAGCTGATGGACAATGTGATTGAAAAGCCTGAAGCATTTGCCGTTTCCATGGAACCGAATTTTTCAGCTGTTTTGCATGATGACTTTCTGTCTGTCTATCCCGGCAAGAAGGAGCCACATGACATTACTCTAAAGAGGTAATAATAAATAGCATTAGGATTAAACCGATTTGTAGTTTTGTGAATAATATTTCTGGTGTTAAAAGTACAATGTAGCATTTTGATGCTATAGGTTCTGCCAGCCTCTGATTTGTTATTATAGACAATTATAGCAAAGAAAAGAGTTGCAATTCGTTGTTAAATAACTTGTGCTTATGTAACTCGATTCAGATTCAGTTGTGAGTGTTGGAAACGAGTTTGCGTTTCTGACTCTGGATGTTGAATTATTTTTTTCAACATTTTTGTATGCAATTGGAAGATCTTCTGAGCATCATATACCCCATGTCATTTTCCGGTAATAGGTGTCGGACACGAGTGCTTCAAGAAAGAAATGAAGTGTCTCAGAAATATAGACATTCTAATAGGCTTTTCTCTACTGATATTTGCAGAAACAAGAAATGCAAATCCCATGTTACTCGAACTTGGATGTAAGTGTTGGATATGAATGTGTCCGATACAAGTATATTGATCTTTTATTAGTTTTCTTTCCCATATAATAGTGGGATACTTAAAAAGGATCATATCCTCGTATCCTTATATAGGTGCTGGACACAAGTACTTGAAGAAAAATGAAGTTTCGGAACAACATAGACTAGTTCTAATCGTCGTTTCTCTATTGATATTTGCAGGAACAAGAGGAAATATGCAGGTTTAGATGAATTTGCTGCTACTTGCTTGGCCATGGAAGGTGTTGAACTGGTTAATGGTTTAGAGAACAAGTTAGCTTGCAACTCGTACAAGGTATTGTGCTTTTATCTTTCATTCTGTTTTTCATCGGACTAGGAAAGTGCACCCTATGTTTTATGCAGTCGATGTTTAACTCGAGTTTTTTTTACAATCATCCATCGGAAGATTTCTTACGTGTTGGACACCGAAGACTTCTTTTATCGTAGAAGAAATTCTTCACAACACAGACCATCATACAATAATCGGGACAGAATACAACGGTTCCATAGATTTTTATCGTCTTCGCAATAATTTAGTGTTCTTTCCTAGACCGGCACGAAAGGTGAATACAACATGGCAATCTTTGTATCTGCATAACCCTCTTCTTATCCTGAGTATCTTCGAAAAGGCTTAAACCTTAATGGGTTTCTTGCAGAACACTAGACCTCTAATGGCTTTCGTGTAGAGGATCGAAGAAAAGAAGCAATGTCAAGAAATGTGGCACACATTTGTAAGTTCATGAGCAGGATCTGAGCAATTATCCTGTAGATACGATTGAAATCTGCATATGATAGATAAGGTGTAAAGGAAAAGAAATGGTATCATAATGTTTGATTTCTCATGAATTTAATTTTTCTTAGATGAAACAATATGGTTTTTTTGGCTACAAAGTGTACTTATAAGTTGTCTAAATTAGTTTGAATTAATTTTAGTTTTTTCTATTACATTTTTAATTTTAAAATTTCTATATTATAAAGATTCAAAATGATCAAATTGTGCTTTTAATTCATATATTGTGTAAAATGATGATCTATTTTTCTTTTTAATTATGAAATTTAGTTTTATTATTATGTATTTGTTCAGATATAAATTTAAAATTTTACAATTCGAGATATAGAGACTAAAATTGATCAAATTAATATATGAAATCAAAATTTATAAGTTTGTACGTAGTGTGGGAATCAAATATAAATTTTGACCAAAATTATGATTCCAAGCAAACATCCAATTTTGAATTATGATTAAATTATAAGAGTTTAGAAAGATCAATAGTTGATGGTTTAATGCTTTTATTTCAAATTTTTATTACTTTTATTAAATAGTTTTCAAATTTCGATACTTTAACCATAATAAAGAAACAATTATGGAGTTTATTAAATTAAACTATGTTATTATACTTATATATTATGCGTAAAACGTAGAATCGGTTTTTTTTTTTAAATTTGATCATTTTAATTTTTTATAATTTAGTTATATTCATATGTATGTATATATTATTTTAAGTCCTTATAATTTTCAAAAATTTACAAATCCACCATAGAACCTTTTAATGACCGTTATAATGTAAACATTTAAAAGAGCAATGTGTGCTTAATGAGTCAAGCAGTTCATGATTTGTTTGAACTCAACTCAGTTAATGATCAACTCGGGTGGACTCGATTCGAGACCTTAATGAGTTGAGTCGAGCAAGATCCAATTTGACTCGATAAATTCGCGAGCAACTCGTTAATTTTTTTTTTATAAATTTTTAGTAGTTACCTTAAAAATTATTCTATTAAAAAGACTAATAATAATTACTAATTTACTATTAGATAATAAGAAATATGATAAATTATTAATTAATAATTACTACTAATTTATTAATCTATTGATTTTCTAATAAAAAATAAAAATATTAAATTATTAATTATTTATTACTATTAATTTTCTATACCCAAAAATCAAACCATAATTATCATACTCAAAAGATTTGGTGAACTTCACGAGCAACTAGTCGAGTCGAACTAACAAATTTTTTTAACAAACATTGTCTAACTTACGATCGAATCACTCGATAAACACCCCTATTCAGAAACATTAAGCGTATACTATAAGCGAAAATTATTTTAAACATCTAAAATAAACAAAAATATGATTACTGGTGAGAGTCGTTGGATCGAGAAAACACACCCAACAAGTTCCGGAAATAAGTAAAGAAATGTTGCGTGGGGTTATCTCAGGAAAGACAAACTAATATACGACTAATATACGGCGTGATAGGATACATTAAAAGATATTTAACAAAATCGGTTTAGCGCTATCGGAAATGTTGAGTAATAATAATGTTGTAGGTGGAAATCATGAAGAAATATTAAAAACTTTGGCAACCTGCAAACCTAGCTTGTCGGGTTATGTCGATACAAATAAAAAAGAGAAAATAACCTCAGTGACAAAAAATACCTTATAATATACGATTTTAACCAATTTTTTTTAGATTTGCCAAAATGACCAACTAAATCGCAATGCGATCGATAATTCGCAACGCGATCTCCGGTATCGCAAATCAGTTTCCAGATTCGCAACGCGAACATCGACTATCGCAACGCGAACATCGACTATCGCAATGCGATTTTCCAAATTCGTTACGATTGTCCAAGTTCGCGTTGCGATTTATTACAAGTTCGTTGCGATAGTCGAAGTTCGCGTTGCGATTTATTCCAAGTTCGTTGCGATAGTCGAAGTTCGCGTTGCGATTTATTCCAAGTTCGTTGCGATAGTCGAAGTTCGCGTTGCGATTTATTCCAAATTCGTTGCGATAGTCCAAAATCGCAACGACTGGTGGTATTGCATTTGTTTCTTAAGAATTTTCTCTAAAAAGATAGTATTCGCGCGGACGTGTCGAAGACACGTATTACCAAGACCAAGACCACGACCACGACCACGACCACGACCACGACCACGACCACGACCACGACCACGACCCGAGACGAGACGGACGGCGGCGGCGGCGGCGCGCGAGAGTCCCCCTTGTTCTCTATCACTCAACAAGGAAGTGGGAAAGCCAAGCCTTAAATACCATTCCCAATAGTGTTTCCAATACTATGTGGGATTGAGTATTACCAACACTTGTTTCCAATACTATGTGGGATTGAGCTGATATTATTTGTGAATTATAGTTAATGACTTTAGTATTTGTATGAAAAGTATTTGTGGTTCGTTTAGTTTTCATGCAATTCTAATTTATTTTCAATTGATTCTAATTGCACGATAACAATTTTTTTTATTCTCGCGAGTGATGCAATTTTTTTTGAATGTTTTGCTTAAAATTGTAATAATCTCGATTGATTATAGATTGACTTTTAATTATGACATATTTAATCGTATAATACTAATGCAATTGGTTGCTGATTCAGTTGTTTTAAGGTGCATGATTGTTAATTGTTTCCTGAATAATCACATAGTATTGGAAACAAGTGTTGGTAATGCTCAATCCCACATAGTATTGGAAACACTATTGGGAATGGTATTTAAGGCTTGGCTTTCCCACTTCCTTGTTGAGTGATAGAGAACAAGGGGGACTCTCGCGCGCCGCCGCCGTCCCGTCTCGTCTCGAGTCGTAGTCGTGGTCGTGGTCGTGATAATACGTGTCTTCGACACGTCCGCGTGAATACTATCTTTTTAGAGAAACAAATGCAATACCACCAGTCGTTGCGATTTTGGACTATCGCAATGAATTTGGAATAAACCGCAACGCGAACTTCGACTATCGCAACGCGAACTTGGACTATTCGCGTTGCGATACGAATCTGGAAACTGATTTGCGATACCGGAGATCGCGTTGCGAATTATCGATCGCATTGCGATTTAGTTGGTCATTTTGGCAAATCCAAAAAAAGTTGGTTAAAATCGTATATCATAAGGCATTTTTGGTCACTGAGGTTATTTTCTCATTAAAAAATGTATCGATTCATAGCAATATAACAGGTAAAAATATGATAAAACCGGTCTCGAAATGACCAAATAAGTAAAGCGCTACCGGATATGTTGAAAGTGTCGATACTTTAATATAAACATCGACACTTTTGGAATTTAAAAGAGAAGCAGTAATAGCGCCTATAAAGTGTCGATACTTTATAAAAATGTATCAATCTATAACAATATAACAGGTAAAAATATGATAAAACCGGTCTCAAAATGAAAAAACCGGTAAAGAGCTACCGGATATGTTGAAAGTGTTGATACTTTATTATAAGTATCGATAATTTTGAAATTTAAAAGACAAACAATAATAGCGCATATAAAGTGTCGATACTTTATAAAAATGTATTGATCCATAACAATATAATAGGTAAAAATATAATAAAACCGGTATCAAAATGACAAAACAAGTAAAGCGCTACCGGATATGTTGAAAGTGTCGATACTTTATTATAAGTATCGACACTTTTGGAATTTAAAAGAAAAGCAGTAATAGCACCTATAAAGTATCAATACTTTATAAAAATGTATTGACACTTAACAATATAATAGGTAAAAATATGACAAAATCAGTCTCGAAATGACAAAACCGGTAAAACGCTACCGGATATGTTGAAAGTGTCGATACTTTAATAAGTATGTGTAATAAATTATCGATAATTTTAAAGAAATAGGTAAATATCCTATCGAAAGTATTGACACCTGACATAAAAGTATCGACACTTTGGGTATTGTATCGATTAAATATAAATAACATATCCGGTGAAAATATAAAGGGCATAGCTAAATTTCCTCTGAAAATAGATAGAAGACGGACGAGTTTTTGAAATTAAAGTGTAATTGTTGCTACATTTCAGAAGGCGTTTTTAAAGCGAAGTTTGTTTGTTTGTTGCTGCAGTCGAATAAAAAAATATGTTGTCGAAACCCTAGTTTTTTATTATTACAGTAATCGGAAATAGGTTTTTATGTGTTGTTTGGGGTTTTCTAAGTAAAGAAGCAATTGAGACCGATTACAGGTAGAAAGTGATATTCTAGGTAAAATATAAATATCGATACTTTCATTAAATATTATAGGTAGAAAATGATATTATAGGTTGTATAAATGTGCCGATACTTGAGTATTGAGTGTTCTCATTCGTTTGAAGGAAATATATATTAGGGTTTTTGGGTTTGGTTTGGGGATTTTGAATCGAAGCCAAGAAGGATTTGGGACCGACTATATAATATTATAGGTAGAAAATAAATATGGATACCTATTTATAATATTATAGGTAGAAAATGATATTGTAGGTTGTATAAATGTGCTGACACTTGTTGTAGTGGTATTCAAATTCTTTTGAAGGAAACCGTTTTACTACAAGAGTAGTTATCGATATTTGTATATTGAATAAAGTGTATGTAACCAGTATTTGATTTGATTTGATTTGCGTAAACTGATATATGAAGAAAAAATGAAGTCAAGGGATCTCAGAATTGTTGGTGGCGAAGATGACTTTGAAATTGAGGCTGAGGGTCAAAAGCAACCAAAGGGTGGATATATGTATTTATAGTAAGTATCAATGTTTTTTGTTATTATTGTTGAAATGGTATTTGGATTAAAGTATTTAATAACTTTAAATTGATTACAAATTTTAAATGTTGACAATATGACCGAATGCCAAAAGATGAAGGAAGGTGGCAAACACATCAGTTCGATATGTAAATTGAATTTGACATTGAGTATTATTTAGCGTTAATGTATTTATTAAGAAACGTTTATGCTTGACATTAGGTGAGAAATGATGTGTTGGAGAAATGAAATTCGATGAGTGATGCTGAGGAGGAACCTTTCATCGCACAGTCAAAGAATGATAGTGAAGAATACAAAGAATGGAGGAAAGCACATGAAAAGAAGGTATTCATTAAACTTGTAAATACGTTGATGCAAAATATATAAGAATAATAACATTATATATTGTTAAAAAATGTA